CACAACTTCCGTATGTTCTGGATGACCACGATCTGGTGCGGTGGGGTATTCCATTTGTCCTTCGCGTTCTGGAAAGTGCTCAGCGTGCCGTAATTGTCCATGCTCTTACCCGGATAGTAAACAGGCCTCGCAGTCCAGCGATCCAATCGGAGTTCTTGTGCGATGCCAGGGCATTCAACAAAACACCTTCTTGCCGTCGCCACGTTATGCTGACCGCTGAGAGGGTAGTAGTAGTACTTGTTCACAGAGCCGAGGTCGAATTCATTGGGCAACACCCTCCTTGCTCTCACAATCCTCCTTGAAGTGTCAGTATGCATTGTATCATGGAGGGCAACCAACAAAAGGACAGGCTTTTCATACAATGTACAAACATTTACACCGGCAGTTCCAATCGTTCTCTCTCTGATAGCAGCCTCACCCGATGCAACCATTGCGTCATAAATGTCATCAATCGTCTGTTGCACAAGATAGTGTTGATTGTATCTGAATTCCCCGTCGGGGATATCCAGAATTCTGTCGAACTTGACATAAATGAATTCCATATCTGGACACTGGTTCCCATGCTCGTCCAACTCAAGGAAGAAGCCTTTGTTGAGAACACCAGAAGAAGTCTCCGATGATACATTTCGCAAACTTGGCGGCCTATTAACTGTCTTGCCTTCGGCCTCTTCATCCGATTGTGGTTGTTCTGCTGGAAAAACGGAAGTCTTTTCCATGACACCACCCTTTGCCGTTTTTTTCTTTGGCTGCTGCTTTTTCTTCGTGGCTGCCTCAGTCTCCCGTGTGCGCTGGACCGCCTCATCCACGGGCAATAGTTTCAATTGTCTTTTCTGACCCGCTTCCTGCTTACTCCGTTTACTATCCAAAGCACTTCCCCTCTCCTGCCTGTGCTTCCTCTTTCGCTCGGCGAGCCTTGCAGCATCTGTATGCGCAGTCACAACCACTGTCTCGTGGTGCACCCCCCCTCGTGTTGGATGCACATCTGCCTCACATCCTTCGTTGTTGCCCCCATATCCCCCTACCATACCAACCTCTCCACCCAATTCGTTGATAGTGTGCTCAGTGTCTTCATCCTGTCCAACCACTTTACTTGTTTCCCCATAGCGCCTCGTCATGTCACCGACGTGGTGCACCCCCCCTCATGTTGGATGCACATCCGCCTCACATCCTTCGTCGCTGCCCCCATATCCCCCTGCCAGACCAACCTCTCCACCCAATTCGCTGATAGTGTGCTCAGTGTCTTCATCTTGTCCAACCACTTTACTTGTTTCCCCATAGCGTCTCGTTATGTCACCGACACCCACCGCATACTGTTCCTGTCCTCCTGCTCATTCTGAATATTCCTCGCCGTTCTCGTCATCATCATCCGAGTCTTCAAAATATTCATGGGCTTCCTCTGTGCGGCTTGGCACAGTGTAGTCGCAGCGCTGCTGGCCCACCAAGGGGAGAGGTCCCTTGGTGGCTGCTGCATAGCGCGGTTGGCTGCCCAAGGCAACTGGTGCTTTGGTTGCCGTTGGCCTGGACGTCACAGGGGCTGACGGCACGATCAGTCCGCGGTACGGACCCTTCTCTCCAATCTGCCCAGCTTTCGGACTCGGCGGTGTGTCGCGGATCGTGATCGAAGGCCCAGTCTCCACGGTTAGCACGCATTTAGGCTCCGGTATGCGGTCTTTTGGATGCACAACCGGCTCTTCGCCCGCGATTACATTACTGTCGAAAAACCCGAGGACGTCGTCGAGCTCAGGCAACTTCACTTTCGTACTCTCTGGTGTGTTGAATACATCAACGAGCGACTTGCCATATCCTGCGTGTTTGGCCCATCGAAGAGCGACGTGTTTAACATTCGACATCCTTTCCCCTCTTCCATTCAGGACCATCGTCAACTCGAACATTGCAGACGAAGCATCTTGTCCAGTCCACCTCACCAGACCGCCAACCAGCACAATACTTTCTTTATGACCACGTATAGAACAAGGCCACTCGATGGTTCTTCGATCTCCCCCACCCAGTCCAACATCTAGAACTTGTCCTTGTGATCAACCACGGGCACATCGTCCCGCCGACCCGCGGTAGTCGTTTCACCAGACGGTTTATGTCCGAGCACAACGTCCACTGCAGATCTTCCCTGCCGAGGACCAGGCATACGTTCCTGACCCGCAGACCCGCCAGTCATCAACACAGCCTTATCCGGAACACGAGTCGACGGAGTGTTTGTGGAAGGTGCACCCCTCGGAACCGGAGTGCCTGTGGAAGGCCCAGTCCGTGGAACCAGAGTGCCTGTGGAAGGTGCAACCCGCAGAACCGGGGTGCGTCGACTCTTAGTTCCCGGTGTCTCCTGACTCCCCCCTCCAGCGGTCGGTGTCCCCTTCGATTTCTTCGGAGATTGGTCCATGCTCCCAAAACTCTTACTTGCTCGTCATTTACTTGCCTTCCCCTCTCGTTCCATGTTTTGCATCGTTGCCGAATCTGAAAGCAACACAACACATCACCGCAAAGCCAAATATCAGAAGGTCGCCCAACATTGGCATGGCACGACGAGTAGAAAAGTGAAACGTTTTAGATAGTGGTAAGGCAGTGCAGCTCGATCGTGGCAAGGCAGCCCCGGAGACGGAGTTCGAATCGACCACGATCGTGTTCAATTCAACCGCGATCGTGCTCGCCTGGACTCGACCGTGTTCGACGCGACCGTGTTCGTGTTCGACTCGATCGTGTTCGACTCGATCGTGACGGGCCAGCTCGATCGTGTTCAACTCGATCGTGGTGGGCCAGCGTGACCCAAAAGATCGTGATCGTGGCGGGCCATGACCCAGCTCGATCGAGTTCGACTCGAACGTGGCGGGCCAGCGCGACCCTCGAGGCCAGCTCGATCGTGTTCGACTCGATCGTTGCTGGCCATCGTGATCAATCGAGGCACACTGCAGCCGGCTATCAACAAATGCACCGCTATCAATTCAGAATTCAAAGCCTACATCCATTATCAATGCCAAGCATTCAATTGGCAACGCATGCAATCGACACCCACAACGAGCGNCAATTCAGAATTCAAAGCCTACATCCATTATCAATGCCAAGCATTCAATTGGCAACGCATGCAATCGACACCCACAACGAGCGATACACAGTCTCTACGCATGTAATCGACATCGACCGATGCACCGCAATCAATTCAAAATTCAAAGCCTATATCCATTATCAATTCGAAGCATTCAATTGGCAACGCATGCAATCGGCACCCACAACGAGCGACACACAGTCTCAACGCATGTAATCGACATCGACAATCTCACATCAAACTTACTGCTCCCATAACATACATAGTCTCAGTTCACACTCTTGCTGAATAGCTCACATTTCTTACACTGTTCATCTCCCACGACCTCTCCCACGACCTCGTCTATCGTTTAGCCCTGAAACCGTACAGTGCGTCCAGGGATGAACCGTACGTCAGGAGCTGGGGACTAGACAGGGTAGCAGTGGCGGAGAAGCGAGACACGTATCGCACTCGGACGAAACCACATGTTCTGGCTAAAGTGTGACCGATGGCGTCTCGAATGACCGTCACGTACTCCTCGACCTTCTCCCAATGCCGGGGTGCGTCAACCAGCCCCGCCAATTTCACGTCAAACTTACCGTTCCTATAACCATGCGGTACCAAAATCGTGTCCCCGTCAACGATGAGCTCGTTTCTGGACACGTAAATAGCTGCCTCCGCTGAAGTCTTACTTCTATTTCTTACCGAAACACACAGAACCCTAGCGAAAGGGAAACGATAGAGTTCAACATGCACGCAGTAGTACGACACACTCCCCGTCAAGTTGTCCTCGAAGGGAAGGGGATATTTCTCTAGAAACTGGTTGTATTTCGCACAATCCAGCAACTCCTCCTTCATCGATGGTCCCCACAAGCGCGGCGAACACGACACGTTGTGCGCACTCAACGATAAAGACAAGCCTCGGGTACAAAATGCTGCAGACAACCTCGACGTGTGTTTCGTCACGAGGATGTGGTCGAGGAAGATGAATGTCCCCCATTCCTGGCTGGAGACAAGTCGATAATCAGACGCCCATGGGCAGTCTTTCATGGTGTTCTCCCAGTCTAACTCGGACCATGCATCAAAAGGCCTGTCAAACCAGGGCACAACGCTCATCCAAGGGTCTGATTCGAAGTCATCTCTTCGAGCCCCAAGTACAGTAGTCGCCTCCCTTGAACCCCGCATGTACGACGCACTAGCATTCAAAGGGAACGAGTAATCGAACCAGTGATCCATCGCGAATGTCCTACACACACAAACGATTGACGACCACAACAAACACTCAGGGAACGAGAGAGCCATTGCTAAGGTCGAACCAATGTCACACACACAACAAGGACCCGTCGCAGTCGCGAAAGTCGTACACACAACAAGGAGCCATTGCGAATGTCCAATACAGAAGGAGAAGACACACAGAACGACAAGCGAGGCGAACTCGACGGCCATCGTTGTGTTCGTCTCGACAAAGGCCATCGGCGCCTATCCATCGTCGAGTTCGAATCGACGACGGCCAAGGCCAGACGGCCGTCATCGAGTTCGAATCGACAACAGCCCAGCATCAAGACCTCTGGCCACTGTCGAGTCAAATCCTGACGCCCACCGCCAAGGCCTCTGGCCATTGTCGAGTCGAACTCGACGACGGATGAATCGACAACAGTGGCCAGACGGCCGTCGTTGAGTTCGACTCGACAGTGGTCAGACGGCCGTCGTCGAGTTCGACTCGACAGTGGCCAGATGGTCGTCATCGAGTCGAACTCGACGGTCGGCCAGCGCCAAGGCCTCTGGCCATTGTCGAGTCCGACTCGACGATGCCCGCAGGTCGTTGTCGAGTTCGACTCGACCGAAGGCCGTTGTCAAGTTTGACTCGACGATGGCCATAGGCCTTGGCGCTGGTCCACCGTCGAGTTCGACTCGACGACGGCCTCTGCGAGGGCGGAAATGCCACGTGGCAGCACGTGGTTGCTTCACGGGGGTTTACCGTTCTCCCAGGTCTCCGCTGCTGCCTTCGATGCGAATGCTCGGAACTTCGCTCCGATGCTGCGCAAACCTCCAATGTGCGAGTGGGAGCTCCGTTGCATTCTGCGCAAGCCTCCGATGTGCGAGTGAGCACTCCGCCGGGCTCGGACGATGCGCGCGAACCTCCCCAGCGCTCTGTCGTTCTCGACAAACTTCCAGAAATGGAAAATGGTGGGCCCACACCACTATTTGTACTTTCTGTGGAGGGCAGAATGGACGCTCGGCACAGCCGTCCGATCGCGAGATCTTGACGGTTGGGGTGTCCGGCAGTGCGGCCTGCGGGGTGTGGATTCGGGTCCCGGTGCCGCGGGGGAATCGGTGCCGCGGGAGCAACGTTTCGGGTCCAGGGAAAGTCTGGGCCGTCGATCCGTCAGCTGAGGGCCAGGATCTGGTACGGGGAAAACCGGTGCCGCGGGGAGAATCGGTGCCAAGGGGGCGACGATTCGACTGTCGGTGCCTTCCGCGACTGTTTAAACGGGCTCCGCAGGTGGATCCAAGGGTCTTTTTCCTTGCGTCGCTCCCCGAGAAAAGTACCGGTGCAGTGTCACCTTCGCGTCGACACGACAGACAGCTGCATTGCTCCGCCACGGTAGCCGCGTTGCTGCTCCAATTCGTGCCTTCTTTGACCCAGGTGAGTTCAGAATCCACACCGCCCCC